AGAGAAAGAGAGAGAAAGAGAGGAGACCTCAAGCCCCTTTCGGTCCATCAGTGGATTCGCTCTGCCATCCCTGATTCACAACAACCAATCTCTCCTATAGGTTTCCTCTTTTTGAAACTTCCGCCACCGCCTTGTGCGGTACTACTGGTATGCAATTTATTGGCTCCAAACCTACACTAAAACTATGACAGTATAACATGTTGCTTTGCTGATTTATGTGGGTTGTTGAGAGGCCCAATATGCCAACCCTGGAGGATGGGGTCAGATCTTGGCCTACATGGCTTTCTGCGAGGTCTCCCAGGAACAGACCCCAGGAAGTGCTGCGTATGCTGGAGACTTTGGATTCAAGGTGTTGACCTCTTCTGACCCGGCTGAGAAAACCAAAAAGCTTAATGCCGAAATCGCTAACGGAAGACTTGCGATGATGGCCATCATCGGCATGTTTTTCCAGGCTGGGATGGGGTTCTGTGCGGATATTGTTTGTTGCAACTCCACAAGAAAAGAAACACCACAAAGAGTGTGGCTGAAAGAGTGCAACAATGTAGAACATCAGCACAACAGAATCAACATCGTTGAAGAAAGAAACGCAATTCTGTGTCAATTGGCATGGCGTGTTCTGAGTTTTTTATTAAGACTTTTTTACTTGGGCCAGCCACGTTTTCCAGCACAACAGCGAAGAAAACCAAAAAAGGAGAAAACCGCATGTTTTGGGAATTTTGGTGATATGGTTCTTAGCTGCTAATGATTTACCACATATGCTTGGCCCGATCGGTGAGGTTTGGAGAATTGCCGGGAATGAATAGTTCCATGATGTGACATGCACAGATTGTACCATCGATATAATGCCTTCGAAACATGCACAAATACATGCCTTTTGTTGCAGATTTGATACTATTCATTTTGTTTATTAACCAAATTGTATATACACATTGTTTGCGATTACATATCATATCGTGCCATAGCTATCATATCATTTCATTTAATATCAGGTCATATCATATCATATTGTATCATATTGTGTCACGTAATGTCACACCTTGTTTTTTAATACATCAACAATCTCGATGCTGCCACCCTGCGCCTTTGATCTCTGCCATAACTTCCATGTCCCAGGATGGTCTGACCGGAAGCGCCTGGGGAGACTGGGCCAACTACACAGCATCTCCTTTGCGCGCATTCGAGAATGAACTCGGCGTGCAGGCGCCCGTGGGTTTCTGGGATCCCGCCGGCTTTACCGCCGACGGAAGCGTGGAGGACTTCAAGCGACGTCGCGCCACCGAGATCAAGCATGGTCGCATTTCGATGTTGGCCACCATGGGATACATCACCCCAGCGACTTGGATTTTCTGAAGCTGTGTTTAAGATCGTTTAAGATCATTTCAGTAAAGATCATTAAAGCATGTTGTTTGTTAATGGCCATTTCTGCAATTCCACTGTAGTTGGGTGAACCTACTGGCAATGTGTTTTTTTTCTTGAATGCATCCCGATGAAACAATCCCCAGGAGATCACTGGCAAATTCCCTGGCTACTTATCTCCATCCGCCGGTTTGAAGTTCGCCGACGTGCCTAATGGTTTGGCTGCCATCTCAAAGGTCCCAGCCGCAGGACAGGGTTGAAACAACTGGATCCATGTGGAAATCAAAACCATATATATATATATATAGATTTATATAACATCCGTTAAACACGATTGATATGTTTGTGCACACACACAATGATCAAAGGAAGTTTAGGGGGAGAAACTTCCGTGTTACGGACTTTTAGAATGTCAGGGAAAGAGTTAGTCACAGAAAGAGTTAGTCAAAGAAGAGTTAGTCAAAGAAAGAGTTAGTAAAGAAGAGTTAGTATAAGAAAGAGTTAGTGAGGGAAACAGTTAGTCAGGGAAAGAGTTAGTCAAAGAAAGAGTTAGTGAGGGAAAGAGTTAGTCAAAGAAAGAGTTAGTGAGGGAAAGAGTTCGGCACAGAAAGAGTTAGCAAAGAAAGAGTTCGTCAGGGAAAGAGTTAGTCAAAGAAAGAGTTAGTCAAAGAAAGAGTTAGTCAGGGAAAGAGTTAGTCAAAGAAAGAGTTAGTGAGGGAAAGAGTTAGTCAAAGAAAGAGTTAGTGAGGGAAAGAGTTAGTCAAAGAAAAAGTTAGTCAGGATATATGAGGTAGTCAAAGAAAGAGTTCGCAAAGAAAGAGTTAGTCAAAGAAAGAGCAAAGAAAGAGTTCGTTAGGGAACGAGTTAGTCAAAGAAATTGTTCCCGCAATGTAAATGGGATTGCAAGTGGTGCTGGTGGATGAGTTGCCGATGGAATTCCATTGGGATTTGCAACTCTAGGATCGTTCCCTCACTGCAAATGGGATTGCAAGTGGTGCTGGTGGAGGAGTTGCCGATGGAGTTTTGAAGGAAGTCTCGCACGAAATGCGTTTTTGAGAGATAGCAGATGCACCAAACCCTGTGTTTTTCCATACAAAGTCCGTCCCCGAACGCTGATGATCTACCTCTGCGGTGCGACGGGTGCGAGACGGTCTCGTGTGTGGTCGGATCATGGTCGGATATTCTCGGATCATGGTCGGATCGGTTCCGCATTGTAAATGGGGTTTCAAGTGTTTTTCGTGCATGTGCGGTCGACAGAATTCCATTGTGATTTGCAACTGTAGGATCGTTCCCGCAATGTAAATGGGATTGCACGTGGTGCTGGTGGATGAGTTGCCGATGGAATTCCCATTGTGATTTGCAACTCTAGGATCGTTCCCTCACTGTAAATGGGGTTGCAAGTGGTGCTGGTGGAGGAGTTGCCGATGGAGTTTTGGAGGAAGTCTCGCACGAAATGCGTTTTTGAGAGATAGCAGATGCACGAAAGCCTATGTTTTTCCATACAAAGTTCGTCCCCGAACGCCGATGATCTACCTCTGCGGTGCGACGGGTGCGAGACGGTCTCGTGTGTGGTCGGATCATGCTCGGATATTCTCGGATCGGTCTCGGATCGGTTCCGCATTGTAAATGGGGTTTCAACTGTTTTTTGTGCATGTGTGGTCGACAGAATTCCATTGTGATTTGCAACTGTAGGATCGTTCCCGCAATGTAAATGGGGTTGCAAGTGGTGCTGGTGGATGAGTTGCCGATGGAATTCCATTGTGATTTGCAACTCTAGGATCGTTCCCTCACTGTAAATGGGATTGCAAGTGGTGCTGGTGGAGGAGTTGCCGATGGAGTTGTGAAGGAAATCTCGCACGAAATGCGTTTTTGAGAGATAGCAGATGCACGAAAGCCTATGTTTTTCCATACAAAGTTCGTCCCCGAACCTCGATGATCTACCTCTGCGGTGCGACGGGTGCGAGACGGTCTCGTGTGTGGTCGGATCATGGGCGGATATGCTCGGATCATGGTCGGATCGGTTCCGCCCGCATTGTAAATGGGGTTTCAACTGTTTTTCGTGCATGTGTGGTCGACAGAATTCCATTGTGATTTGTAACTGTAGGATCGTTCATGCATTGCAAATGGGGTTGCAAGTGGTGCTGGTGGATGAGTTGCTGATGGAATTCCATTGTGATTTGCAACTCTAGGATCGTTCCCTCACTGTAAATGGCATTGCAAGTGGTGCTGGTGGAGGAGTTGCCGATGGAGTTTTGGAGGAAGTCTCGCACGAAATGCGTTTTTGAGAGAGCAGATGCACGAAACCCTATGTTTTTCCATACAAAGTCCGTCCCCGAACCTCGATGATCTACCTCTGCGGTGCGACGGTTGCGAGACGGTCGCGTGTGTGGTCAGATCATGGGCGGATCATTCTCGGATCGGTTTCGCATTGTAAATGTGGTGTCACCTGTTTTTCGTGCATGTGCGGTCGACAGAATTCCATTGTGATTTGCAACTGTAGGATCGTTCCCGCATTGTAAATGGGATTGCAAGTGGTGCTGGTGGATGAGTTGCCGATGGAATTCCATTGTGATTTGCAACTCTAGGATCGTTCCCGCAATGTAAATGGGATTGCAAGTGGTGCTGGTGGAGGAGTTGCCGATGGAGTTTTGAAGGAAGTCTCGCACGAAATGCGTTTTTGAGAGATAGCAGATGCACGAAAGCCTATGTTTTTCCATACAAAGTTCGTCCCCGAACCTCGATGATCTACCTCTGCGGTGAATGACTAGAGCGCCAAAAGTTCAGATTGGGGCCATTGGAGAAAGCCGAAGTCTCTGGTACGCTTTGCGTCGCCACAGAACCAAAGCTCAGTGCGCAGAATGGCTCAACATCTTGCACAGCAACAGTACGTGGTCTTGCCGCAGAGGGATCAATTCTCGTTTGACTGCCGAGGGCTGGGTGTGCGTTGTTGTGAACCGCATCCGAGTCTGAATTGCTGTGCTTCAGTAGCTTCGCCTTTCATTTCGAGTTGCAGACGGCAGAATGCCTGTGTCACTTCATTTTCGTTTCTGTATTGCATACATGTGACAAAAAAGGATCTTTCAGATTTTGGCTGCTTTCAATTTAAAATCAACTTTTTCTGCTCTGGCGTTGGAGTGTGAAGGAAGCAGTGGGAAGTGTGAAGTGTGAAGTGTGAAGCGTGAAGGAAGCAGTGGGAAGTGAGAAGTGTGAAGTGTGGAGTGTGAAGTGCGAAGTGTGAAGTGTGAAGTGTGGAGTGTGAAGTTTCAAGTTCGGAGTGCGAAGAGTGCAGTGTGAAGTGTGGAGTGTGAAGACTTTGCTTCGTCTCTCGCTGAAAAAATCAAACGGTTGTCGAGGGAAGGACACGGTCGGGACAGGGTGTCTTTGAACTATAGGTCATTTATGTTTGGGAAACTTCCGCCGCCGGCTTGCCCAGGTTTATGTTAAAATGATAACTATTTGATATCTAGTTGATGATTAAATATACAGTATTACTGGTTGTTTTGCTGATTTATGTGTGTTGTTGAGAGGCCTAGTATGCCAACCCTGGAGGATGGGGTCAGATCTTGGCCTACATGGCTTTCTGCGAGGTCTCCCAGGAACAGACCCCAGGAAGTGCTGCGTATGCTGGAGACTTTGGATTCAAGGTGTTGACCGCTTCTGACCCGGCTGAGAAAACCAAAAAGCTTAATGCCGAAATCGCTAACGGAAGACTTGCGATGATGGCCATCATCGGCATGTTTTTCCAGGCGGGGATAGGGTTCTGTGCGCATATTTTGTTTCTTACAACTCCACAAGACAAGAAACACCACAAAGAGTGTGTCTGAAAGAGTGCAACAATGTAGAGCAGCAGCTCAACCGAATCAACGTCGTTCAAGAAAGAACCACAATTCTGTGTCAATTTGAAGTTTTTTTTCCTGCGAGCCATGCTTTCAGCACACCGCGTGTTTGATTGTTTGATGTTGTTCTTACTGCTATATTTACACATATGTTTGCCAATAAGGTGAGTTGTAGAATGTGACGGGAATGAATAGTTTCATGATGTGACATGCACAGACTGTACAATTGATACAATGCCGTCGAAGCATGCACAAAGACATGACATTTGCAGATTTGATACTTTTATTTTTGTTTATTAACCACATTGTATACACATTGTTTGCGATTACATATCATATCGCGCCATAGCACATCATTTCATTTGGTATCATATCATATCATATCATATCAAATCCAGTCATATCAAATCCAATCATATCATATCATATCAAATCATATTGTATTATCACTTAATGTAATACCATGATTTTTCTAGAATCATCAACATCTCGATGCTTCCACCCTGTGCTTTTGATCTATGCCATAACCTCGATGTCCCAGGATGGTCTGACCGGAAGCGCCTGGGGAGACTGGGCCAACTACACAGCATCTCCTTTGCGCGCATTCGAGAATGAACTCAGCGTGCAGGCGCCCGTAGGTTTCTGGGATCCCGCCGGCTTTACCGCTGACGGAAGCGTGGAGGACTTCAAGCGACGTCGCGCCACTGAGATCAAGCATGGTCGCATTTCGATGTTGGCCACCATGGGATACATCACCCCAGCGACTTGGATTTTCTGAAGCTGTGTTTAAAATCGTTTAAGATCATTTCAGTAAAGATCATTAGAGCATGTTGTTTGTTAATGGCCATTTCTGCAATTCCACTGTAGTTGGGTGAACCTACTGGCAATGTGTTTTTTCTTGAATGCATCCCGATGAAACAATCCCCAGGAGATCACTGGCAAATTCCCTGGCTACTTATCTCCATCCGCCGGTTTGAAGTTCGCCGACGTGCCTAATGGTTTGGCTGCCATCTCAAAGGTCCCAGCCGCAGGACAGGGTTGAAACAACTGGATCCATCTGAAAATCAAAGCCATATATATATAGATTCATATAACATCCGTTAAACACGGTTGATATGTTTGTGCACACACAATGATAAAATGATAACTATTTGATATCTAGTTGATGATTAAATATACAGTATTACTTGTTGTTTTGCTGATTTATGTGTGTTGTTGAGAGGCCTAGTATGCCAACCCTGGAGGATGGGGTCAGATCTTGGCCTACATGGCTTTCTGCGAGGTCTCCCAGGAACAGACCCCAGGAAGTGCTGCGTATGCTGGAGACTTTGGATTCAAGGTGTTGACCGCTTCTGACCCGGATGAGAAAACCAAAAAACTTAATGCCGAAATCGCTAACGGAAGACTTGCGATGATGGCCATCATCGGCATGTTTTTCCAGGCGGGGATAGGGCTGTGTGCGAATATTTTGTTTGTTACAACTCCACAAGACAAGAAACACCACAAAGAGTGTGTCTGAAAGAGTGCAACAATGTAGAGCAGCAGCTCAACCGAATCAACGTCGTTCAAGAAAGAACCGCAATTCTGTGTCAATTTGAAGTTTTTTTCCTGCGAGCCATGCTTTCAGCACACTGCGTGTTTGATTGTTTGATGTTGTTCTTACTGCTATATTTACACATATGCTTGCCAATAAGGCGAGTTGTAGAATGTGACGGGAATGAATAGTTTCATGATGTGACATGCACCGACTGTACAATTGATACAATGCCGTCAAAGCATGCACAAAGACATGGCATTTGCAGATTTGATACTTTTATTTTTGTTTATTAACCACATTGTATACACATTGTTTGCGATTACATATCATATCGCGCCATAGCACATCATTTCATTTGGTATCATATCATATCATATCATATCAAATCATACTGTATTATCACTTAATGTCATACCAAGATTTTTCTAGAATCATCAACATCTCGATGCTTCCACCCTGTGCTTTTGATCTCTTCCATAACCTCGATGTCCCAGGATGGTCTGACCGGAAGCGCCTGGGGAGACTGGGCCAACTACACAGCATCTCCTCTGCGCGCATTCGAGAATGAACTGGGTGTGCAGGCGTGGTGGCAGTTTTGGCAAAGAACAAATTCCATTGGGTACGGTACGTGTTTGAAGATTTGTGCAGATGTGATTTCTCACCACGACCAAGAGACCATGTTTACACACGCATTCACACCTTGTCACCTTGTGACAAACAAGAGACAGACAGCCATTTATAGTCATAGATCACTGGCCATTCTAGTACACAATATCCCATTACACTACGACTTTCTCACGTTCCATTGAATTACGCACTTATACATGCGTTACAACACACTGAATTGCGTGACGTTGTGTTGGATCACGTTCCATCATGCCACATCATACTGTATCATTTCCCTTTTCATGACATACAGCAATTAAATCACATTGCAGAGGGTTATCTGACCTCACTGTCCGTTTGGCAGTACACCGTGCACACATTGCCAAACATATGCTATCACACTATGACTAACACCGCATAGCATGACGATGCTTCGCACGTAAGCGACACGCCTCCATGCAGCCATGCATACATTCGTATACACAACTGCCTACACAGCGTATTTATATGTATATATGTATACATAATTATACATATATATATATATACATATATATACATATATATATATATACGCATATCATCATATATCTATCGATCAATACGGATGTAGTTGTTTTTTTTTGACATATGCTCATTATATACATACACAAATAGCCTTTTACATCAATAAGCGTTCGTTCACATGTATATAGATATACATGAATATACAGGTATCTGCGGACTTGCATGTATGCACATGCATATTCGCATACACCCATCTATATTTGCAAATTCATTAATTCCCTTATAAATATACACGCCCGAAATCCAACGTGGAACTGCATGCTATTCCTGAGGTCTCCTAACATGAACCTATGGTACGGTCTCAAGTGGATTTTGTTCCCCGGGAAATCATGCAACTAATTTTTTCAATAAAATCGCTCAAAAACTGACATGGAACCCAATGCAGGCCCAAACTGAACCCAAACTGCGCCCTGAAACAACCAACATGGAGTTTGAACAAGTTATCACACAGCGATCTGCAACCTTGAAGGGTGATTTGAAGGTTAACCTGGAACCCAAGTGGTTTTTAAGGCGTTTTCCTTGAAAATTCCATGTTAGTGACTTTCGGGCGACCCTACTTTTCACTTCGTATTGCGCTCACGTTTTAATAACTATTCAGGTTCCAGGTCTGTGGTGGGGAAAGAACTGAAACCAAAACACCTCCAAGAAAAGGTCGTGACTTAATTTTGGATATGTGTTGGGTTCCGTGTTCGTCGCACAACCTTCCAAAGTAAGCCGCAACAGGCAGAAAACTTGACAGCGAAGAGAGAAAAAGCAAGCGACATGAAAGGATAACAAATATCAGCAAACTAAGAAAGAGATGGAAAGAGCAACAAGGAGCAAAAGAAAGACAAACGTGACAACTTTATGGTGAATTTGCTGGAGCTGGTCCCCCCAAAAGTTAAACTCGTTGGGTTCGATGTTGTTTTCCGTTGTGGGTTCGACGACCACGCCCGGGGGACACAGCGGGTTGATGGAGGAGAGCCTGACCAGGGGGAGCATACGGGGAGACAAAATGTGGCCACCAGTCCAGATTCAGCCCAAAAACGTCCAAATGGCACATTTTCGCCTTTACTAAGTGTAAAGGAAAACTAGGATCCCTAAATCCATTCAAATCCCGGATTTTTTTTTACTTGTTTTTTTTCTGCTGTTCACTTCCTCCAACGAAATGCCCATTCAGGTTCCAAGTTAGTTTTCGGGTTCCTGGAGTCTGGTATGCAAAAAAAACCACCAGTCCAGATTCAACCCAAGCATGCTGGGGAAAACATTCACCAAATGCCACTAGACCTAAGAAAAACTAGGGCTGAGTGGCGCAACATGCTCCAAAATATGCTTCCCCATCCCACCCCAGGGGAGAGGGATTGCTTGTTGTTTTTTTTTTTTTAATTTTGTTGGTGCCAGGCCTTCTGCCAATAAACATGTAGACATGGGTGGGGAAAAATGATAAGGTTCTTTCATGACAAGGTTCAACTTATGTTTTTTTTTATCGGTTGGGTTCCATGTTGGTTTCGGCTGCAAACCAAAGCCACACATGCAAAAGCTGCAAACCAAAGCCACACATGCAAAGCCTTGCTGCAAGCGACGGCTCACGGAGCACGGACAACGGGGTTTTGTTTTGTTGGCTTCCATGTTGGTTTCCAGCTTTCAGGGTATGGGGGAGGTCACCATGGAAAAGGTACCATGGGGGTCCATGTTGCGTTCCATGTTGGTTTCAGGGAAAGGTACCGTGGGGGTCCATGTTGGGTTCCATGTTGGCTTCTATGTTGGTTTCCAGCTTTCAGGGTATGGGGGAGGTCACCATGGGAAAGGTACCATGGAGTCCATGTTGGCTTCCATGTTGGGTTCCATGTTGGTTTCCAGCTTTCAGGGTGTATGGGGGAAGTCACCATGATGGGAAAGGTACTGTGGGGGTCCATGTTGCTGTTGGCTTCCATGTTGCTTGGTTTCCAGCTTTCAGGGTATGGGGGAGGTCACCATGGGAAAGGTACCGCGGGGTCCATGTTGGGTGCCATGTTGGCTTCCATGTTGGGTTCCAGCTGCGAGGGTATGGGGGAGGTCACCATGGGAAAGATAGCGGTTGGGTTCCATGTTGGTTGCCAGCTTTCAGGATATGGACCGGGTGCTCCAGGCGGACCTTCCCCCGTTGGGTCGAAGTCCTCCCGTTTGGTCAACGTGGAAACTAACTTGGGACCCGGTAAGTGTCCCCGTGGCTTTGGCGCCCGGAGGCCCCGCCCGGAGCTTCCCCTGTCGGGTCGAAGTCCTCGAGCAAGTGTCTCCCGCTGTGTCAACGTGCAATCTAACTTGGAACCCGGTAAGTGTTCCCGTGGCTTGAAGTCCTCGAGCAAGTGTCTCCCGCTGGGTCAACGTGCAATCTAACTTGGAACCCGGTAAGTGTTCCCGTGGCTTTGGCGACCGGAGGCCCCGCCCGGAGCTTCCCCTGTTGGGTCGAAGTCCTCGAGCCGTTGCGTCTCCCGTTGGGTCAACGTGGAAGCAAATTTGGAACCCGGCAAGTGTCCCCGTCGCTTTGGCGCCCGGAGGCCCCACCCGGAGCTTCCCCTGTTGCTTGGATTTTCTTAGGAGACCGCGCAAAGGCCAAACAAACAAAACCATGGTATTATTATAAACCATCCCATCTGGGGATGCACATGCATGGATGTTAGGAGCATCCTTTTAAAGGACATTTTGATGGAACATGTTGCCAATATATATTGCGGCTTGGCACGTTTCAGCCAATGTTGCGCCTGCCACGTGACTTCATTGATGTACTGCGCCTGCCACGTGACTTGCCTTAAGTTCTTAAGATGTTGCGCCTGCCACGCGACTTGTCTTAAGTTCTTAAGTTCTTAAGATGTTGCGCCTGCCACTCATTGATACTGCGCCTGCCACGTGACTTGTCTTAAGTTCTAAAGATGTTGCGCCTGCCACTCATTGATGTATTGCGCCTGCCTATCTATATCATAGATAATCGTTATAATCAAGTGGATCATCACGTCATCAATCACTACTTGGGGGGTCGCTAAAGGGGAAGGTAGGTGAAAAAGATGATATGTGATAGTTGTCAACGGTGGCCTAAATTTGGCGACATCCCGGTAAATCAGGTGGAAAAAGCAAGTTTTTTTTGGCTGCTTGCAATGATTTGATCCTTGTTGTTCCAAACAGTATGGTAAATCTTGGCAAAGCAATGGAGTTTTGGGAAAAAGCGACGTGCCGTTGAGAGCGTTGGCTCAAAGTGTTCGAAAACCATTTACAACTGACTACTTTGGAAATTCTCCATATGCCTCGTCGCCGTGCCCAGACCAAGACGGGTCAGGCTGCGAGCTTGCCAGGGAAGCTCTGGGAAGCTTGGACTCAACATTTACTTAAGACTGGACCCACATGGGTGTGGGTGGCGGTTATCCTCACCCACATCCTTTGCTGCAGGATCACAGAGATCCTGTGGTTGAGAAACAAAAATTCGATTTCAAAAGACGCTGTGTGACAATTCGCGCACTGAAGCGTCAACCCCAGGCTAGGGTTTTCAGAGATGTGTATCTATGTTTTGTATGTGATGTGATGTGATGTTATGTTATGTTATGGTATGTATGTTATGCATCTTATGTATGATATGATATGTGATGCAATGAAATGAATGTTATATTATGATATGTTATGTCGTGCTATGTATGTTATGTTATGCATGTAATGTTTTGTTTGTTATTCGATGTTATGTTAAGTATGTTATGCTATGTTATGTTCTGTTATGTTATGTATGTTGTGCATTTTATGTAACGTAATGTAATGAAATATATGTTTTATTGTGTTATGTTATGTTATGTTTTGTTATGTTATGTTATGTTATGTATGTCAAGACTTGTATGGAATGTCATGTTATGTTATGGTATGTTATGATATGTTATGTTATTTTATGGTGTGTTATGTTATGGTGTGTTAAGTAAATATGTATGTATGCATGCATGCATGTATGTGTATGTATGTATGTATGTATGCATGTATGAATGTATGTATGTAATGTAGTGTAGTGTAGTGTAATGTAATGTAATGTATTGAAATGTAATGTAATGTAATGTAATGTAATTGCATGCATGCATGCATGTATGTATGTATGTATGTGCATTTGTCTATGTGAATATGTTTCTTTGTCGTGCGAAAGGGTTTTAACATATATAGCGAAAGAACACAATAAATATGTATGTTTATACAATTGGATATTCATACATGTGTACTGTACATTATACGGCGCTCTTTCCCTGAAGGTTCGCAAATGGCTATTCACATCCGTACTTCCACTTCTTCGGAAACTGAGGGACCATGGGAAGACCCGAAAATGCCAACGCGAGTGCGGAGCACGAGGCAAAGAAAAGGTTGATGACAGCTGGAAATGTCTAGCTACGTCTCAACTCAACTCGATCACTCAGCGATAGCGGCTATT